TGTCATTTTGAAAACACCTTATAAGCCACTACCTGTGAAAATATCCATATAGAGTATGTATATGTGCATATAAGAGAGCTGGTAGCTTAGGTGTTTGCAATACTTAATGTGCCCTTTCCACAACACGAGAGAGAAATAGGATCTGCTAATCAGTACCAGGCCACAAAACATATTAAGTCTAAGCACTCCTACGTAATATTTTTTTTTTAATAATAATTGCCTTTAGAATGTGAGCAGTCATACAGGAAAAGGCTGCTTCCTAAACTCTACTCTTTCCAGGCTGCACCCATTTCACAAGCTAAATATTTTACAGAGGCAGCACCTTCACGATGCTTATGGTTGAACACTTCACTTTCTGTAGTCACGTCTCATTATTTAACAAGATCTCATTCAATACATGTGTTTTAAAAATGAGGCTTGTCTCAGGTCTTCAAAACATCAAGTGGGGAAGGAAAAAAAAAACAAAACAAAACACGATCTGCTCCCTTCTTCAGGAATAGTTCATCTATTCATCTTCATGGGTCTTCAGTAGTACTTTTAAAGCCTGCAGTACATTTACAAGCGAAATCACCCCCAGGTGTGTGTGGGGGTGTTAGACTTTTGCATCACCATCCCTCCATGCCCGATAAAGTTCTAGATGTGTTTAAGGGCAAAAATTCCACCCCAGTATATTAGTTTTGTTAATCCTTTTCCTATGTTCTGTTTGCCTGGCTAGGGAAATTATGCAGAAAGTAATAAAAGTTCTAATTCAATTTCCATGTTAAAAGATGGATTTGAAAAAAAAAAAAAAATCAGAAACCATATTCTTTGTGTTTACTAAGAGATATGCACTCCAACGTTTAGTGTCACGGAGCTGGAGTTAAAACCAGAAACGGTGAAGATAATTTAGCTGCATGAATGCCTGCTCTTCAGTAGAATGCTGCCAAAATTAAATAGGAATGAAACAGCACTTTGTAGTCATTGGTCGCTCAGCAGGGTTTGCGTAGTTAAAAACCTAAGTGAAAAGGGTGATTGACCTACATTGCTACTAGCTTAGCACAGCTGTACTTTCATATTTTCACTGCATCCGAGGAAGCTCATTATTTAATACAACTGAATTACATGTAATTGTCGGTCTTTCATTTTACACTTTTAGGGGCCAGATATTAATCTCCAATGTGCGGCGGGCATTGCTGTGCATCTGGAAATATCCGCGGCTGCCCATTTGCACGCAAGGCTAAAAGAGAAGACTGCACACAGTTGCACCTGAAATGAGGAGGCTGCCCAGGGGTAGGAGGACCTCACAAATATGCAGAAATCAAATGAGCAGATGGAACAGAAAGCAAATCCCTTGGCACCCCAAAGGCAAACGCTCCGCTGTTTCCCTATCGTTTTGAGCAGAAGCAGCCCGGAACGCGCAACCAAAGCACATTTCACACAACTCATACCTGCAGTTTAAATAAGTAAGAACATTCCAGTTAACAACCAGTTTGACATGGTAACAACCCAGGGACTATTAACATAACGACTGGTCACTGGTGGCAGTAATGGCAGATTTCAAAGGGAATATTGTGCTTGTAGATGGACATGCTGCCAGCCAGAAGACACGACAGAGCAGGGTAGGCTGATACATTAAGATGTCACATAGAGCTCTGGAGGGGAAAAGAAAAGGGTAAAAAAAAAAACAAACCCACAATCTTCTTGCATATTTCACTTACTGTAAATGGACTTGAAATATTGGTGTAAACCTAAGTTCCTTAAATTAAGTCTTCACTTTCTAACCCAAGAGTGTATAAGCAGGAGACAGAAGCCTGCAGGGGAATTAGACTCTGCATATCATTTTCACCGAGTGTGTTATTTCTAACATTAAGTCCTTCCTTTACTCAAGTCAGTTCCCACCCCCGTTAAGAAAACGGAGCTCGTTCCTGCCATGGCCACCCTAACACCCTTGCTGTCTTACGCCACCTCCGAAACCACTGGAGTGACCAGCGTCAATCAGATTCCAGGATAAAGCCTCTCGCACCCAAAACATCTTCCAAGCTCATTACCTCCTCAAAGATTTCTTCCATCCCCTCAATGCACCCCCAACCCAGAGAAAAAGGTTTTGATATAGTAAAATTAACTAATTTTACCAAAGGAGAAAGCTAAAGAAGAGAGCTAAAGCCAAGCAAGTTTTGAAGTTCTGAAGATACAGAGTATTTACAAAAAGCTCACCAGAGCAGGTACCTCAGGGCTCAAATGCAGAACGAGAGCATGCATCAGAGCTGAGGGAGTGTTTATTTTTTTGGCAGGCATCGCTAAATTAGAAATACTGGAACTATCTTTGCAAATAGCCAAAGACACAATCACACAGTTTGCAAATTTAACCATGAAAGTTAAAGCACCCAGACTGGCTACGTTATTGCTTATAGCATCTGTAGAATGGCTGTCTTATTGAAAGACATAATGAACACAGAGAGACAAGTTAATAAGCAATTTTACTCTTTATAGTATCGTGCAAACCGCATATCCTCTAGAGGGCACCACATAAATTAATAGGAAGCCAGAACTGTTTTATATGTAGCAAAAGACTCCCTTTATGGTTAAAAAGAAAAAAAAAAATTAAGAGGATAGTTTGAAGCTGTAATCGAACCCTAATCTGATCATTAGTACAAAGTAATTTGTCCTTTAAATTCATAACAAGTAGGTTGCTAAATATGAAAGCTTATTTGACTACAAAGCTAGAGAACATTTAACTAGTTCCTACATTAGCATTAAAAAGATCACTTTTATAGTTTCGCTGTATAACTAAGTAGATAAGATGCAATGAGGCAAATGACTATCTGCAATTACCTTAAGTGCATCAGTTTGAAGTTTAGTGTAAATACCAAGTTTAAATCTATGCACTCACAAGAATCACTAAAAAAAAAAAGGCTCATGACAAGATAACTTCATTAAGACTTGATAAACCTGGAGACAAAAAAACGGAAACATCTTAAAACAATTATAGGATTTCTCATGTATGCTGGTTTCACTGCTGCAACAGTAAATATTCTATATGAACAAATAACTGAAATACCAGTTTTGAATGTGGTCATAATAGCCTCCTTTCTCTGAATCACTTCGTATGAATTTCAACAATCTGATAGCAAAATATTTACTCCTGTTAGACCTTCAAAGACGAGAGAGCAACAGTGTGTGTGCATCTGTGCTGAGGAAATGCTTTGGTCATATCTCTACTACTAGATCACTTTTGGTTTTGATTTCAAACATTTGATTTTAAAACATTGTATCTGTTGCACTAGCACTTGGGAGATTCAGTAAGTTCAAAGTCTCCCGTAAATTTGGAACTCAGACCAAACAGCCACAGCAGAGTTCTCTCACTCCTGCAGGCATTTGTTGTAGAAAAATTCTTAAAATGGGTTTTAAAAATTAAGATAAGTGTTACCTTCCCCACAAAAGCTGTTCCAACCCCTCTTTCTAGACACACGCTTTAAGATCACAACTGACCTCAGTTCACGTACAACAATTCCCTTCTATTCAAACAGTTCCCTGCCAGTTTTTAAAACTTTGTTTTAAAAACTGTTTTTTTAAAGTTTTGTTACCTACTTCTTTGGCAGCCCTAACACAATGGCTTTAAGATGCAGACTCTATGCTAAATTCCCAGCACTCTATCTTGCGTTCAGTTCAGAGTTTTACCGGGTAGCAGAGCCCTTTTACCACTAAGTAGTCCAAACCCACGTCTGAAGAAGCTGATCTGCCTTCCAGCCCCAGCTCAAACACCACACAACGCATTTGCGAAGGTTTTTGTTCCACTCTAGAAAAAACAGGTTGTAACGTAGTGAGCCAGAGTACCAACAGTTGTTAACACTTTAGTCTTGATCCCTGTTCCAACTTACCCATGCTGTACAATTTGGGAACTGATCAGTGTGTGGGAGCATCCCATTTGGTACCTGTGCTTAAACTGAACTTGTAAGTTATCGCATTCAAAGAGAATTTTAATTTTTCCCCAATGTATTACTGACTTGAATGCCCCGTTTAAAGGAAAAGGCTTCACTACAGGGCCAGGGGAAATATTCCCAGAAGTCCACATTAGCCTGGAGCAGCTAGTCTCATTAGGCCCTCTCCACAGGGGCCGGAGGAAAGGTGCTCCTGTGGGAAATAGGTGCTCTGAACCACCCCAGAGGAGCCTTTCCTCTCTATTTACAGTTGAGAGCCTAGGGAGACGAAACTTAGCTCCTGCAAAGTATCCCGATTTATTCACATACAATCTGCAGGTAAACTAACCTGGTGCTGCTCATCAGTACTTTGCTACGGGTTATACTTCAAATACTTTTGAGAACGTAGGTCCACAAGCAAACAAGAAGATAAAAAAAAATGAGGTGACGATTTGCTATCTCTGAGACGCAGCGACAAGTTATCCAGCATCCCACCCAGGTCGCTGAGTTAAATTGGGAACAGAGTAGATTTGAGCCTACTGGCTTCACGGCCATTTCGCGCGGGGAAGGCAGCTGGTCATCTGGGTCCAGCTTCTAACAGCTAAATGGCAACAGTCATAAAAGCTTCCCGTGCCACAAACGAAATTCCTTGGCAAACTAAGCTGACGAAAGTGGGTTAAGCAGAGACGAGCGAAGCAGTCCGCGCTTACAGAGGTCAAACCCCGCCCTGGAGCTGGTGAAAACCACGCGCGCGGTTTCAGGCTGCTACGCCTGGCCACCTCCACGCTTCTAAGGAGCGGGAGGAGACCACCAGCTCCTGGGAGCACAGCGCTGTAGGAAGTGCGGGGGGGGGTTACTCTCTTCCTCCTCTGAGCACAGGACCCCAGTATTAGCATCAGGAAACTGGCAACCACCTGCATGACCTGGCGAAGCGTGCTTTTTGGTTCAGATTTTAGTTTTATCTCCGTATTTCAGTATTTCCTCATCCTCCGCATATACTCAGCCTTGCAGCCCTCGAGTACTGCTTACACGATAGCGACTACGTAGGAAGGACGGAACAGGTTTACCAGGTTTGTCAGTGAACGTAAGAAGGATGTGGCCTACCTCAGATAGTCTCTGCGACAAAGGATAAGGTTGGCTTTGGTGTACAAAGTAGAGCCCACCTCCCCCAGGCGACAGTCACAGCAGGCACATTTCAGGCAGTCTTCATGCCAATATTTGTCCAGGGCCTTTAGAAGATACCGGTCTTTAATCTTACGGTTGCAGCCAGCACAACCTTTCGGCTTGGTGTCTGGCTGGACTGAGAGCATTTGTATACCTGAAACACAACAAGACAAGAGAAGAGTGAAAACAGATATTCTCTCGAGAACGAGTCTTGCCTTTTTCTTCCTCCACCTTGCCGCTCTCCCCACACCCAGTTCGTTAAAAAGGCAATCGTGTAGGTAGGATGAAATAACCTAGATAGTGCACAGCAAGCTGAAAACAATGTTAAGATAAATCCGAAAGCAGAAACTTCCACTGCTCTACATTCCACAGCTTCTCTTTAACATCTCATCTACCTGGTCTCTTTGCTAAAAACGAATTGGATTAAAAAATTAAAATGAAAAATTAAAACAGTTCAGTTGAAAAGTCATCCAGTTTCACCCAAAATATCCAATATTTAGCAACCAAAAATTTGCATAAACAACATATTTATCACTGCAAACATAGGTCCAAATATGTAGATTTAGCTATTTGCACTGTCTTTACAAAATAAAAAAGCACTTCAGATTCTGAAGAAAAGACTGAAGCTATTAGTGGCACGGGGCCAGAGTTTAAGGGAGGTTTGACATAGACATTTTGGCGCTGGCAGAGGGGTGTTTCATTTTTAAGGTTTCGGATCTTGTTAGTCACATGAATGAAGCAATCAGATTTCCAGAGGCTTCAGTACCAGCATCTCTAGTTACAACCTGCAGTGTAAGGATCTTCTGAAAAAAACTGATTTTAAGTAATCTGCACAAGGTTGGAGAGTTGCTAGTTTGTCAAGGGAAAAAAAAAAAAAAAAAACCCTCTGTTCCACTTTCCAATCCCAATTTTAGCCAACAGGTAGCTCGGGACAAGGAGTACAGTAGTGCCCATTAAGTATATGTACCTTTTGATGTAATAGGAGAGAGCATTTAAATAACGATTCAAATGCCTAAACCACTGTTTAAGGGAGGGAACTGGTAAAAGTGGAACAGAGTTGAGCAGAACACTGCAGCCAGCCTCCAGAGATCCATACAAAAACCGATTGCCCTCAGTTTTACGCTAAATGGGGAGAGAAGGTCACTGCCCCAAAGTGTTTACAGACTGGTCTCTCTTGGTTAATCGCACCAACTACCACCCCATTACACTCAGACCAATTCTCTGAAAGTGGCTTCTTAGAATAAGCACAATCATAGCCCTGCGGATGCTTTGTTGGACATCAAACAGGCACCAGAGAGAGAGAGAGAACTGACAAGCAGTTAGGTGATGATTACAGTTATCTCACTGTTTTAAAGCCAGTCAGACATGTAGCAAAAAAAAAATGCTACTCATTAGAGTGCATCTCAATATTGCAATGAGAATTTGTCAAGACCAGGGAACGAATGCTCTTGCCAATAAGCAAATCCTACCCCAAAATTCAGGGTATTGCAATACCCTGTTATTATGTAGAGACTGGGAAAGGTCAAGTAGAGTCTCGTAACAAAGAAAAGCAAATTCAAGAGCTCCTCATCAAGAACGCTCTACTACCTAATGTTAAGAAAGCTTTACAGTCCCAGCTTCTATCAGATGGTCTCGGTTGGTGCCATAACACCACTAGAGACCGGCAGGCTGAGGGATCTAGAAGACGAACAAGTCGGGGTTTGGGTTTTTGTTTTGTTGGTTTTTTTAAGAGCTCTAATAAGGAAAGCACAAAAATGAGTATAATCCCTGACGCAAAGGTACAGTGTGCCTTTACGGATATGAGCGCTGTGAAGACAAGAGGCTAAATGCTACGCCAGCCGAAGCGTCCCAGGGATCCGTACATCTACGTGTACGTGGAAGACCTTGAATTTATGCGGACCGCAGTGACTCTAGAGCCCGTTAAGTGGCTTTCCAGGGTTACCAAGCTGAAGTCCAAAATTTCACCTGCAAAGCTGATCACTGAATTAGAAATAGTCATTCTTATTGTGACATATGAGCAAACAGCCCTGCTCTCCTCTTTGCAATACACTCTATCACGCATTTTGGAGTGATATATTTATCTGTTAAATTAGCTGTCCAGTGATATACAGACAGATCTAGTGGGCACCCCAAAGTACCATGGCAGCACTGCCACATAACATCTGAAACTCATAACAAAAGGGTAAAGTCTGTGCTTTTCTATCAATAAGTATAAAAAATGGCATTGCTGCCTTCCCGTTACTTCCCAGTCAATGCTACTGTCATAGCTCTTATACCACTTACAGACTCGTAAGATCTGTTTGTCCTTCACGAGGAAGAGGATGAGGTCCAACGACCTGCACAGGGTTCCAGTCAGTCTATGGCAGACCTGGGATCGAACACACATCTCTCACCTTGAGCAAGCACCACGAGACAAAGGCTGAGCCTTTACGGTGTTTGCGATTGCCAGCTGACTCCCCTGAATCCAGGGTACATACATGAAGCAGCAAAATAACGTGGCTACAAATAAATGACTAAAAGTAAAGTATCAGAGATTTTTGGTAAAGAACCTATACCAGACTGTTTACTGGGAAGTCCCACTGGATCTTTAATACCTTCACTTGGTGGAAGAGCCTTAATCTGTAAAGTTGCGTATCACAGTAGAGTATAAATACTCGATAACATGCCGACAACATGCTTATCCCCAGCCCCTCTCTTCGGCCACGTAGAGGGCAAACGCATAAAATTGTGCACAGTTTGCATCAACTTCTTTAAACTCAGTAAAAAAGTTGAGAAGCATGAAGGGCTGTTCTAGGACTTTAATCTTTAGCTCGAGGGAAACCAGGATAAACTAGGAGCTAAGACAGTTAAAGGCTTTTCAGAAAAAAAAAAAAAAATCTTAATGTAAAAATTTTGTCGCCTGATAAGGAAGCGGGTTAGAGAGCAGAGGCTGACAGTCTCCGATGCAGGCTGATCTCCCGTCCCGTGCTGTCTGAGGGGAGCGAGGTGCCACAGAAACCCGGCTCGCCGAGCAAACATCTGAGCAAATTGCAATAATCAAGCCGGATCATTCCTGAGGCGTATGCCGCAAACACGAGGTTGTTGTATTCCAAATAAAACCTCAGCTTGCACGATCTTGCACGTACCCCTGCGTGGTTTTTGAGACATTTACTACATGAGGAAAGTAGACAGAGCGCTGTCATTCACGTCGGTTAGCGCAAACCCTCCTTGTAGAGACGAGTGAAATGGGGCAGACGCCCTATGGAAGTAGTGTTAACAACCCTGCGTGTCTGTTTTCTCAGGGCTGAAAGAGAAGGTGCTGCTGACATCCCACTGGCAGCATCTTCAGATTAGGGATTCAATCTGCAGCAGCTTTTGGAGGGAAGGAATGCTTTTCTCCTCAGATAGATCTGATCTTTTCTCGCTTTACTTGAGATGAAGCTGCTTCTATTTTAATGAAAGTAAAAAAAAAAAAAAAGCCCAAACTACTACTTCATTATAAAAGAAGTTACTCTTTTTTGGAAGTGTAGACTGGATCTAAATGAAACCAAAGCACAAAACAACACTCCAATAAGTGTTTTATGTATCTCCAAATTCTTTGCACATGCCCTTTTCTTCACATGCCCCGGATTAAATCACTTAATTTTGAAAACAGAACATTAAATTATTTTTTTTTCCGTATCATATGAGAGAGCCACCTTAATGCAGATCACCTCACAGACCATCCCTCTTCCCTTTAATGTTCCCATAAGATCTCCAATGCAGTTATACTTTTCAGATATGCGCTCATGTATTTTTAGCGCTCTCTTAATTTGGCAATAAGAGTACCTGCAGCTTACTGTCAGACAGCTTTTCACAGGCTGTGGTTTAAGTACCCATTTACTTCTTAGGACACAGGAAGGAACCCTTTCAGAGCCTGACAGCACCCACAAAACCATCCAAACTGCTTGCTGCTGAAATATCAGGTAGCAGCACACAGCACTGCAGGAAGGCAGAGCTTATGGAGCACTTCCAAAAAAAGGTACAATTCCGTAAGCGCTACACTGAGGCTGGGAAAAAAAAAAAAATTGAAAAAAAAAAATCAAACCCCGCTTTCCCTTCAGTTCTGCAGATTCCTACCCATGCTCTGCATCACAGAGCAGATCTGTTCTCAGAACTGAGAGATTTCAGTTCCTAGTCTGTCTGTCAAACAAGCCCTTTTTATTTCACCCCAATACACTTTCAAGGGCTTCCTCTATCCTTCCCTCCATTCCCTCCCTCCTTCCACCCCCAGTCCCCAAGATACTGCACATAAACTGCCGAGTTGTGTCAGGAATAAGGCTTCTTAATAACTATCCACCACCTTTAGGATTTTTGAAGGGAAAACTTCATAACCTGATTTACGGGTTCTTGGATTTTCCTTGGTCTCCCAAAATAACTTTGATGCAACTGATTCCCATCCGTGGTTACTGCTATTATTGTGTGATGAAACACTGTCAACCAATTTGTAACTATGAATTTCAGGATCAAGAGGAAAGATTGCTGGAAAAAGCTGAATTAGGCTGCTGGAGGAAGGCAGATAAGCAAAAATCTGTTTCATTCCAATCATCACCCTGCTCAAAAATAAAAAGGAATTAAGATTTGACATCATGAACTGTATTTTGTTAGTGATGTAGTGGCATCTGTAAGCAGGATTGGTCCCTGATGATGCTGAGTGCAGCACAAGACCCTCGGAACTTGTGGTACAGACAGTCTTTGAAAGGATATTACTGTGCAGAGGATCACTAGGAAAGAAAAAAAACCAAAACCCAAACTTTTAAAGACCACTCTCCCCCCGTCTTTGTAGGGGTATGATCATGCTTCTACCAAGGACAGTCAGCAAGAAAGGGAAAACTTGTCCCTACTTAAAAAAAAAAAAATATATATAAAAATTAGTTTGGAGCAAATTATGTATCAGTGAACTGGTCTTTAAGACAGCAAACTGACATAATGCAGTCAACAAGAGTTAGAGATCTAGTGGAAGATAAAAAGAATACTTTTCCGATGCTTTCCCACTTTGTAGCTTCATCCTAAAAGCATTCAGAGCTCCAATTATTCAGGACAATACACACAGACTTTAAAAAAAAAAAGAAGTTAAGGTTTCAGAAGCTAAGAAACATTTCAGAACTCGCATGTAGCACATCAGGAGTCGTAACTAG